ATATATATGCTTGAGCAAACTAAAGTTACCATGAAAAGTGACTGAACAATTTATGTTAGTTTCCTTAATTATAAGATAATTTGTCTCATAAGGTTACTCCGACCGCAAATTATAATATGGAGTAAAAAAACCTACCTCAGATTAATAACATAAGGTGGTGTTCTTTAATTTAATTTCTACTATGAAGACAGTATATATGGAGATTATGGTCACTCAAGGAACTTGTATTGGACCTATGGGTCAGAAGTTTGATACATATCGATGTAAAGAAAGAAATCAGAAAGGCGATGGAGAACAACGGAAGCTACTTTTAAGATATCTAGACTAAATAATGTTCTAGCATTTATCAGTATAGGGTTGAGGAGATAAGGTTTTTGATTGAGATCATGAACCGATTGATGTTAGACCACTATAGGAAACCTGGAAGAACTGGACGACCGTTTCGTCCTAGTATGGGGCTCCTCAGCAGTGCGAGAGGGATCGTGGATGTTTAATTCTATGAATTATAAGCTTTTATTCAATGCACAAGTCACTGCCGTGCTACTTTTTTTTCCGAAATTACTGTAATTTAAATGTGACTTTATATCCCATTTTCCTATAATAATGCACTAAATTGAACAAAATTGTATTTTTTCTAATTCCTTGGGTGATGTAATTATGTCAGTTATATATGCTTTTTTAAATAAAAATAATATATTTGTAATATCCCAATGAGTAGAAAATTGGATTTTTCTGACGTTTCGTGGCTTAGTGTAAGTCACTTCTTCAGAGAATAAATAACCAAATTAAATCAATCCAAGTTTAAATAGTACAACGGAACAATGCAAGAATAATATTTGATCAATCAAAAACAGGTCTGAACAAGTTGATTAGATGGTGGTTGGAGGTAGTCAACAGGAAACCCTGGACCCGGGTTTCGTGCTACTTGGCACTCGTCAGCAAGGTGTACCTGTAATCTTGAGGGAACTGGTGCTCCCTGGCGGATTCGATCTCGTGTCACCCAGCTTCACAGTCAGAGACGTTACCACTGAGCTATCCGAGCCGTGACTAACCTCCTGTAGGACTGAGATGTAATCACAATTGATTGATCACTGGGTGGTGATCAATCAATTGTGATTACATCTCAGTCCTACAGGAGGTTAGTCACGGCTCGGATAGCTCAGTGGTAACGTCTCTGACTGTGAAGCTGGGTGACACGAGATCGAATCCGCCAGGGAGCACCAGTTCCCTCAAGATTACAGGTACACCTTGCTGACGAGTGCCAAGTAGCACGAAACCCGGGTCCAGGGTTTCCTGTTGACTACCTCCAACCACCATCTAATCTCAATACATAGTGCCCGCAGTGTCGAGTCACCTAGACTGGTGGCCACATTGCAACATGATCGATAGCATTCGATCTGCACTATTAAGGACTAGACAAGCATGAGATTGATCACCACCCAGTGATCAATCAATTGTGAACAAGTTGATGTCATGTCATTTCTGTCAAGGTGATTCATAAGTGATAAGTATGTAAATTTGTGTATGTATGTGTGCATTGTTTAAGAATGAACACTTGTGTGACCTATATGGTAAGAAAGGATAGAGTTTAAATTTGTAATATGAAAGTGTGAAATTGTAAATATGATCAGACTGAATGGTTAGGATAGATGGTCCAAGTAGGATGTATGGTAAGGCCTTCTTTTCTATTGAGAGAAGTAGGATTAAGCATTATATGGAACGCCTCGGCTACCCTCCTTTCTTTGTAGTTGGAAAAGCCTTTTTGCAATATTTTGATATTTTTAAAATCGATTTGGTGATTGTTGAAAATGGCATGAACTGCTATTGCCGATTTAATTTGAAGTTGGTTCAATTCTACCGGATTGTTAGGAGGTTTCTTTGTGTATCTAATATGTTCTTTGGCTCTAGTCACGATTTCGCGGGATGACTCTCCAATATTTAATAAACGATGTTTACAAGACAACATTATCCCTAAATCTCTTGTTAAAAATCCTCCAGAACGGTCCTGGAGATCTATCCAGACTTCGCAACACGCGTCTCAAATATTCTTACGAGAACGCATTCACAAATGCACACATTTACTAGAATATCGTGAACGAATCAAAAACCTTGATGATTTACTGAAGCTTTTAATCCCGATCGAATTACAAACCACGATATCCAACCTGTTTATAGAAAGAGAACTCCACTATTTAAATTCCTCGAAACACCGACAAATTAAAAAAATTCGAAAACATGAAAGAAAAGAAGAAAGATAAGAAAACATCAACAATAAAATACAATTTGAATGATCTAAGAACAGTTTATAATCTCTCCAACAGAAACTTAAACAGTCACGAAATCACTCTACTAGAGAAGGGATTAAACTTCAATTTACACAGAAAACCACTTAGCACTCTTGAAATCGCTCCGATTATAGAACCAATGATCGCACAACTACCGGAAAAAGAGTCACATTTACTACGTCAAAAGACATCCCATATCCTGACGAAACAAAAACACATTACCCCAAACATTTCAAAAGAAGAATTGAAGGCTCTGAATTCACTTAAAAAAGACAAAACGATTATCATCACAAAAGCCGACAAAGGCAACACAACAGTAATCATGAATAAAACAGATTATATTAATAAAGCTCTTGAACATCTCTCAACGGGACATTATGAAAAGATCAATCCCAAAACTTCTCTAACGATTAAGAATAAAGTCAAATTAGAAACAAATCAACTTCTGAACGAGCTAAAACCAATCATTGGGGTTCCGCTTTGGTTTGCTTTGCATCCCAAATCATGTAATGTCTCACGGTTTTATGGCTTACCAAAAATTCATAAACCAGATATTCCTTTAAGACCAATAGTAGACTTCACAAACACCCCAACATATGCACTATCGAAATATTTAAGCAATATATTAAAACCATTACAACTCAACTTACATAATATAATTAAAGACACATATGACTTTAAATCAAAATTATCCGGATTAATCATCGAGAAGAATGAAATCATGGTAAGCTTTGATGTCGTTTCTTTATACACAAGTGTTCCCATTGATAAATGCTTAGAATTCATTAGTGGTTTACTTGAGAACGACAATACTCTTCCTGACAGATGTCCGTTGAGCATCAGTCTAATCATGAAATCCTTAAAACTTTGCTTAAATTCAACGCTTTTTACTTTTAACGGTATTTTATTCAAACAAACTAACAGTGTAGCGATGGGATCCCCCGTGTCCCCGATTGTAGCCAACCTTTTTATGGCATACATAGAATCAAATATCTTCGCCCACAACATTATACCACGAATTTGGCTTAGATATGTAGACGATACATTTGTTGTTATAAAAAAGACTCATCTAAGATCTTTTTCAAAACGAATTAATACACTTTCATCGCACATCAAATTCACGAATGAAAATGAAAATGCACATGGTGAGCTACCATTCTTGGATTGCTTAGTAAAAATAAATCCAAATGGAAGTCTAAACCTATCCATTTACCGAAAGCCGACGCATTCAAATCGTTATATTGACTTCCATTCAGCACATCCTTTCAGTGCTAAGATCTCGCTAGCCTTAAATCTTTTAAGAAGAGCTAACAAGATGATCACATCAGAGGAAGACAAACAAAAAGAACAAATGAATATAATTAGCATCTTACAATTTAATAATTTTCCTATGAAGATTATTAGAAGCATATTAAAACAAAACAGTTTATTACATTATAATAATGATTCGAATGAAATGCCTTGGATTGGCACTGTAGTCCTACCATAGTAGATAATGTTATTGCTACAACTCCTAAACATATTTCTTGGAACTAAAATAAATGGACGAGCTGTTAAAAATGCACAGGCTTCATAAGTTAATTTTTCCTGCTTAGGTCAGTTGTAATGAACAAAGATCCAGGTGGGGATGACCAAATGCATTTTAATACAAAATTACAGAAAGTCTTGGCAAATTACGAGAACCGTAAATGAAATGCTTCATTTGCAAATTTCCAACATTTATCCTTCATGTTTTGTATGATTCTTCTGATTCACCATTCCTTTATGATTCCGCTTCCATTTTCTTCAAGTCAACCTTCATAGCCTTCTATTGCCATGTTTTCCACTTCCAATTGGCGTTACATACTACTTATATCTATCGACATAAGTAGCACATACCACACGGTCAATGGTACATAGCAATTCCTTTATTTTGAATTTATTGAAAACACTTAACAAATAAGTAAAAATCTAGAAAATATGAGATCTTAGCTAACAGTGTAGTGAACAAGAACACCAGTGGGGACAATCGAATGTACTTAACACACAATTACAGGACTTGTTAATAAAATCTAACAATCACAAAGTAAATGCTTAATTTGCAAAATGTTAACCAGTTGTCTCAAAATGACTCAGAATTCATTGTTCTTACATTTTTATACAAATTGCATCCTGTTTCCATTCTTTACTGTTCGATCCTCTTGTCTCTCTGCTGTCAGACCTTCTGTTCACGACTAACATCATATATTACTTATGACAATATAAGTAGCACACACCACAACGGTATCTTTGACAACGCGGTTAGCAGGACGTTCCCGATTCCCTTAAAAAAACTGATGAAACTCGATTTTCTTCAGTCATATTTGCTACAACTGATAGTCCTAATCATTGTGTGAATAGGTATGTTATAGCAACAGGAGTTAATGTTATCTCGTCATCTCGTTAATGCGTGTTATCGGTGAAAGCAAAAAACGTTGGTCTACAGATGAAATAATTACATTCGGGATAAAGATTTATAGATTGGATTTATGATGAATGCATATCTTTAGTGATATCGATTAAAGCCTTAATCTACAATGCCATTCTGACATGAAACCACTTCAAGCCTTAGTTCTTGGTAAATTTATCATCAAATCTCAATCTTCGAACAGATAAACGCACACTTTCTTACAGTGGATTCCAAATGAGTATCAATGCAATCAGCAAATGAAACATTCATAGTTAACAAACCACAATAATGAGACAGTATAACGTTTTTTGGATCCAAAGAATAATGACTGACAGTCCTCTGCATAAAAGACTACATAATTAAATTCTGACGGAACTTAGTGACCGGTTTAAGTAATTAGCAATGAACTACAAGTACTGTGGAGGCTAATGAAACAATTTGGATGTTTAAGTAGGAATAAACATAACATGAGGCATAAAATGATGAAAATTAAACGCTTATACACCAAGAGCTGCAATAGATCACTAATTTTTATTGATGATTAATACAAAATGATTTCAGTAGACGTTTTAGTGAACATATCCATGAGAAAACCGCACCTAAATATAACTGAAGTGGATTAATTAAAATTATCCATGCACAAAAACTTACAATGAAAACAACAATCCGGCAAGCATGAAACATGAAAGAAAAAGGAAACTAGTTTTATACAAGTTCAAGTCTCTTTTATACAAATCACATGTTTCCCTTAAATAAACATAGCTGAAATACGCTAATACTTTAAAACATTTACAAAGAATATAGTTATAAACTCAACATAAACAATAGAATATACGTAGACATTCACTTAGATTTGATTACAATCAAATTGAAGAGAGACAGCGTGAATAAAATAATGATAATAATAGACATAACTGTATTTTATACAACAAGGTAGATAAATAAAACTATATATAATGAATTGGTTGGTCATTTAATAAGCCTAGTTAATAACAGATGAACAATAATCTGATAGAAAAATGCGGTAATAAATATGGCGCCCTTTATAAGGAAACTTCATGTAACATGTACCATAATTGGAGTGTTGAAGTTTAAAATAGCGCTGATAAGATACATGTACATCTACATATTCATCTTAATTTCAAGTGTACGCCGTTTAATCAAAACGAATGATGTCGATAACAGAGTAAAGAAGTATTTAAAAGTAAAAAAACTATAGTTTTTGATTTATCCATGCTTTTTTTACTAAACTTCGTCAGTTGACATAATGTCACAGCAGTGGGCAGTAGAAAATAGAAAGATTAACTGTATATATACGATAGATAAATAATCCTGTTACAGTTTATTTATTAAGTAGTCTACATAAAAATAAAAATCATTTACAGAAAAACCAACATGGAAAAGAAAATGCAAATGTAATCTGTGTAAATTCTGTTATACATTAAAAAGAGAAGGCAATAAGCGCAATGAGTTATTATTGTCTACAAAAATGAATAATATTTACAAATCAATCTTTTGCTTAAGACAAAAAGGTAGAAAGAAAGCAAATTATTGAAAAATGTGTACATTCAATTAACAGAGAAAGAAGAATTCATCAGAAATAATGAAACGGTTATCTTCTTTTTTATCAGGAAAATCTAAAAAGAAAATGCAGTTACACTAATAAAACTATTAGTTAATAATAATACATTCATAGAAAACCTACAATAATATTGACGATTAATTCTTAAGTTAATAATAAGAAATGAAATGAATGTGGCTTTTATCTACCTTACATACTCTATAAGTTTATGCACACTCAATTGATGAGATGACATCAGGTATATACCTTGATGAATTTCAAGAATGTTAATAAAACCAAGTACATAATTGTGTAAGAAGGTTTGAATCTGATTTATTAAACGAAGGTTAGAGATATTATTCGACGTTATAAACTGAGGTAGATACATTGGGGTTCATACTAAACATATAGACCTAAATCATAGTTGTAGACTGATTAAATTTTACCAGCCTTATTCATAGGCGATGCATCGAACTATAAATACAAATGGCAGTAGCCCGTTTTCCTCAGATCTGTCAAAATGAAGACATCATTGGGAGATTAGGAGTCAGTAAATGTGGATGATAATAATGAATAAAGGATAGTGAAGTTGAAAATGGATTTATGAATAAGAAAAGCAAATAATTTACCAATATATTTTCTTTTAATAACTGAAATAAATGAGACACGTTATGCACGCTAAGACCGTAGCAATAATTTTCATTAGAGCTTGAAGTATGTTTTAAACGGAGATAACAAGTCGACTCACAGAACAAATGGCTGTTAATCTCAAATATCTAGAAAAATGCAAAAGATATTTATTGGGATATCCCAGTATCTGGGGGTCTTAGAATACTAACGAAATCGTACAGCAGTATTCATTTTTTATGAAACATAATAAATCTCGAACCCCATTCTTTATGTACATTTGAAAATTCTAATAATTTTCTGCTGTATTGTTAAGAAGTAAAGAAGCTTGCCTTAATCCATCACTGTCCCAGCTTTGAAACTTTTCAGTCTATATATATATATATATATAGTGTCCAGATGTTCATCTAAGAATTATACAAAGGAAATAATATCTTATTTACATATTCCAAAAACTAATTTTGAATACTGTTACAATGCTTTGCCACGACAGTCTAAATCTAACTATAATACATTTATATAACTAAATAGAATACTTAATTAATTTCCGTTAAGTAATGAGTTGAAGTAAATTCATCAGAAAACTTACATAGCTTGTACTGTAACATGGTGGGAATAACCATTTGTAAACCTAATTATATTTTATATATTTATAATTTAAATGAAAGCATTATAAACTTATGCAACACAACTAAAATTAAATGAATGTACAATTTTTAAAATAAAACATATTATTCACATGAAATTTACCGATTTTAAAGCAACGTCAATGAAATCCTCTACGTGAGTCAACTGAGTTACCACAATATGTTGAATTAGTTATATCAGAAGACCTCATTTGTGAATTATGAAGTGTATCTCTTGGCAAAGAGTTATTCTACATGAATAATAATAAAAAAATTATTGTACAAATATATTGTATGTTACTAATGTATGAGCATGAATACATACTACTACTGATAAATTAAATTATATCCTTTATAACAAAACAATTAAATACAGACATCTAAATAAAAAAAATATTCAAGAGATATCTCTGATAAATAATTCTGTTCTAAAGTAAAATATTTTAAGTGAAAAAAAGTTAGAATAACTGATAAAACCTTTAGTTAACTTAAAATGTCTATATACTACAAATAGAGTAACAAAAACAACCACCGTAATGTACTATTCGAAAAAAATTGAGTAAATTTCTTTCTAGAATAAACAGTTAATTTTTTTTTTTTTAAAGTAGAACTTACTATTACATTTCTGTGGTGAGTTTCGTAAGGACTACGAATATGAGATGATGATTGTCTATTATATGGATAAATTGTTCCAGAATCGGATGTAGGATAACTAACATGTCTTGAGGATGGATAATAGCAGTATGTTCGATTAGTATTACTATTATTACTGCCAGATTCATTAGGATTATAATATGTATATCGACTACTAGTATTTGTTGTATGTTCATTGGGATAAAAATGATCGGAAGATTGACCTGAATGGAATGTTGACGACGTAAGTCTGTTGCTATGATATCCATCAGATGGCATCTGCCGAGTTATATTGGAATGATATGTATATGAATTTGAGCCAGATGGACTATTTGTACACCGTCTAGAATTATTATAACCATTATTATTATTATTATTAGAATAGGATCCCTGAGATTGCGTTGAAGACGATCCATAATGTTGACTATGTGGAATTTCAATCCGAGGTACTTTTGCTATTGGAAAAGAATACTGACCGGATTCATTTGAAACAGATGTAGTGTGAACGGTTGGACTGTAACGTAACCCATGATTATTACTTACAGATTGAGTCCCAGATTGATGGAAATTCAACGATGAAAAATTATAATCTGATGAGCTTGGACGTTTACCTCCACATGATGCTGAAGTGACTGGGAAACACAATAGTTAATTATTAGTATAAGGCTAATAAAAAAGCCTATGATGCATGCCGGTATATTTTACTAAAACCTTTATCAATATGACATCTTTGCAAAGAAATATGACTTGTGAGGTAGAGTGAGGAAAATAATAAATCATTTTGAAGACTAATATGCGTATACATAGCTTTTGTGGTGCTAATGTCGTTATTACGTCTGGAGTCGACGCTGTTATATCTGGTGTGTCATCGCTGTTACGTGCGTATCGCCTCATTTGGGTCCGCAGTCTTACTGCTTTTAGACTAGACAATCGGGAACCATAGCAATTCACATGACGCAAAGTAAGAACACGAAAGCCTGGTGCAATGGAAATTTATCGACTCTCCAAAAACACGTCCACAAACAAGTCATAAAGTCACGTCTTCGTTAGACCAAAACGAAAGTTCACCCTCGTCATATTGAAAGAAGTCCATGCTGAATTTACACCAGAAATATTGACTTTAAAACGTCACACACTAAGTTCACATCTGTCACCCAGGTGGAAATCGATAGTAAATTGATACGAAAAACTATCGACCGAAATAATGTAATCATTTTATTCCATCACAAAGGTCAACCAACCCAGTCGTTGAGGCGATGATAATAACAAATAAAAGGTAAGCCAATGTACCAAATTTAGACCCAGTTTCTACCATAAGTTAACATGATATTTTTAGAATAATCAATACTGACAGTCTTTGCTTCGCACGTTGTTTGCAGAAATCATAGCCGAAATAAGTATGAATAAAAAGTGTGATGAAATTATGTTGAAGATTAAAAAAAATAAGAAAGAACAATGTTCCATTTAGTACCTACATAGACACCTAAATAAATGCGGACAATCCCTTGATGTTCTCAGGTAAATAACTCAGATTGCAGTGAAAATAATAATATCGTTCTGTTATTCATGACAATATGATCATCTTAGCTGCACATAATCCATTGATGAAATGAAATTAATGTTGATAATTTGGCTATTATATGTTATTTTCAAAAATAAATGATACTTATCAGATGCGTAATGAAAAACATTTCGGTATCTTCCATATGAAACCTACAGACACAGTATCTGGGTTTGCGCAGCCCTTGAGTGAAAAAGTTAATTCACTTCTGTAATAAGTGAATAGATTGGATACGTGGAGTCTATATTTCGACAGTCAGTATAATATCGAAAAGACATTTGTCAATTGAAACCCAGTTTTACACGTGATATATAAAAACAAAGCTTACCAATTGAAGGTAAACTAACAGGAACATCTGATTTAGTAGCAGAACAAAGTATGCTAGTAGCCGGTCCTTGTACTAGTTTCTGTTCACTGCTAACAGGAGGATAACGCCTTTGATTTGAAGGGACATTCGTTACAGAAACACTAGGGACTCCAAGATTTTGACTAACACTAACTGATTGTGTAGAATTTGGTTCTGATGAATAAACAAGAGGTATGGAACTCGACTGATTAGAACTTTTAGAGTTAGAAGTACTTGATAATGCTGTTGAAGACGGTTTATTACTCGTATTTAATGAGAATGGATGTTGATAATTGTTTTCAGAATAATGTGAAGATTGAGATAAATCACTAGGAGGGAATTGCGGTGATAAAGATGATGATGACGATGATGATGAAGAAGAATACGATGTAACTGTATTTATAGGACGCGAAGAAGAATTATTGTTCTTTGTAGGAACTTGAATGCTACCTAGAAAAAAATCCATTATTTTTAAAGTTTTTTTTTCGAAGTAAATGAAAGAATTCAATGGAACATTTCGAGAGAGAAAAATAGTTAAATGAACATCGAAATTATAGGTTACTTATTTTTAAATTTGAAACAGTTTAATAACCGCTGAGTTGTCCAATGAATTAAAATATAGTCGAATCTTTATAGATTCATTAGAATACTAGACAAATTCGTCGTTGATTATGAAAAAGAAGATTCATTTACAAATCACTTTTTTAGAATTATATTATTAATAATAGAATATTAATTAATTCTATTTATTTAAATATATTAAATTAATGAAAATAATCTAATATAATACGATGACTATTATATTAATATAAGATTAATGAGTAACAAAATTCTCAGTTAATTTTCTCAACAAAAAAATCAATCAAAATATTTTTAATTGACTTTACAAAACCACACATCTATATGATCTATGATGTAATAGGAGATTCTATTGAATAAAATAATCAGGTTTAATTTAACAACAAAAAAGAAAAGAAAAACACTTTTGTAAACAAAACAAAATACAAATCTTGAATACAATATAATATCGGAAGGGATTTTTTGTGGATATTATTATAGACCACCATGGTGGTCTAACTTCAATTGATCCATGATCTCAACTATTGAAATTACTATAATATAGTACTCAATATATCATGTGTTCTTCTATAAACAAAATCTGTAAAACAACTTAAGCTTATGATATGATCATTGTAAATTTATAGAAAGATTAAAAATTCTTAGATGTAAATCCATTGGCTAAAAAATGAATTCAGAAACTAATAAGTAAAACAAAAATTATAAAAACCTAATATAATTGATAATAGAACAAGTTCATATTGATAATATTCAATTATGCAATGTTTTATTGGAGATAGGTTAATGTTTACAAACAACTATTACATTTGTAAATATCTTAGGAGTTCATATATGCATGAATAAAATTTACATTAAAATTAGATTAAACTGATATAAACGAACAAATGTAATTAATTTATTGAAGGATATGATAATTCATTTCTAACATACTTTAATGGGTAGCTCCTATAACAATGGACACTTGTAACATCGTCTTACAATTTTTTTGAAAATATCTTTATCGATATTTTGGTCAAAAAATTAAGAACAAACCATTGACTTTATATGACTAACATCAAGATGAAAACTCCTAGTTTTAACAGTGTCATTCACTGAACCATAGTTGATTTATTTTCATTTACCTGGGTCTTGGTTTTCAATTTATGTTAAGTATTTCTAAATATTTTGCCTAAATATATTCACTCTATTCATACAATAATATGCAGTTAAATATAGCGTGGTTCATTGGGTTGAACGGTAACAAAATGAAACTATTATGTATCACTTGAATAGTGCAGAAGTTAATTACAAACTATAAATGAAATATGTAATGAATGTAATAGATAAATACTTAACTGCCTCTATGTGATCAAGTTCAATAGAGGATGGGAAACTTAAGCATTATCAACCACGAGGAACTATTTACAAGTATCCAGAACAAGTAGTTAACCCGTATAATCGTACAGTAAAGAAACATGTAGTTAAAAAAAGAACATAAAAACCACGGAAAAAAAGTACGTTCAAAAACCAGAACTCTTTAAGTTACGGTAAGTGTATGTGAGAAGCAAAAGGGGAATTGAACTTATACGATGTCATTTTCAAAACAGATAGCTGAAAAGCCTTATTTATAATATCAGCAACACGTATATCGATAAAGTAAATGATATCATAAAAATTTCAGCAAATTTTATGAGAATGCCTAAACGAAAAGACTGATGAAATCTAAATATATACATGTCGCCAATCCTAGTATATAATCGAGTTTAATCGCGTTGGTGAATAACGGAATTAAAACAAGAGTGGATTTTGGTACGTATATCTCGTACAATCATTGATCGGAAAGCGAAGCACAACAGGATGAAGTGCGATGGGAAAGGCGAGTGAGCTAAATCAACTTAACCAAGCATTACTCATATTTATAGCAAACAAAAATAGGTTAGACATGTGATGAGTAAGATAAGAAATGCACACATACGCCGCGTGCATAAAAACATTCAGGATTAATAAGCGAATGAGTGACAAGGTCAAAATGTGGTTCAAGACGAATAAATAAATTGCCCTATTCAGAAACTAGAACAACCAATGTGGGCTCGACACAGGGCCAGCCACTACAGATTACACATCTTCCCTAAATGTTTCGCAAACTCAGTCCCCTATTTGTTGGTCATCACCAATATCAGTGTGTTATTAAATTAAAAGTAGTATTAAAACATGTCCATGACGCAATAATTAATTAAGATTGTTAATCCCGAATATTATTGTTGATCCATGTTATCATAAACAATTAGCGTGATGGCTAAATTGCATACTAGATAAAACAGGAAGATTTTCACTTAATGCGCAACAACAACAACAACAGCTCAAAGATAGTATCTCAATTACATACACCACAGCTCCTTAAATAGGTACCGGATGTTATAATTTATGCACAAAATTATACAGAATAAAAATGTATTGTACTTATACGCTTACTTGCAGTTTCTCGAGCACTTATGCCCTGTTGTTCATTTTCATCATCAGATAATGTTAAGTCAATAGTGAAGGAGGGAATCTGATAAAAATAATCAAGAAAAATAATAATAAAAAGAAGCAGATTATTTTTTTTAATTAACTAAAATAGGGACAAAATAAATTTTCATCACGTACTAATATCGGTTAGAGAACGGTTTCACACCAGAAATCATTGAGAGAGCTAGTTGTCCTGTGACTGTTCAGAAATTCTAATAGTGTGTTGTACTTATAACCTTGTTACAGTTGAATGCATGACATCGAGCACAATATATTACTTATTGTGTTGAATAAGAATCTAATAAATCACTTGCATTTTCCAAATCCCTAATCTTTCAAAGATTCTCTAAATGATATCAATCAGTTGTAAGAAATTACCATAAATCGAACAATTTACACATATACAAAATAAAAGAAGAATATTAATAATTGAAATTGTTTTTTTTGGGGGGGGGGGATAAAAATCAAAAACAGTCATTAAACATTTAAACTAAAGTTAAATTGTGCAGATGATTTGTGAACATGAAATGGAGAAAAATTCCTTATACATAAAAACGATAGCAGTGAAGAAGAGGAAGAAGAAGAAGAAGAAGGAGAAGAGGAAGAGGAAGAAGAAGACAATAACCCCAACATAACTTTGATTTTATTCTAGCCCATAAAAATAAACAATAAAAATATATTAGAAGTTAAATATATTGCAAAATTTATTCAATCTATTTAAAAATAAAAGATAAATTAATGTTCTAAATAAATAATTAATTTAATAAATGTCCAATATTATTTTCTTATATGCTAATTCTAGTGAAGGAGAACACAGGTGAGGACAACCGAATCGTATTTAGCACAAAATTACAGAGTTACTTCGTAAAATAGAAAAATCAAACTATAATACTTAATTTGCAAAATGTTCAATAATTGTCTCGAAATTCATTGTTCTTGCATTTCCATACTAATTGTTTTCTATTCCCGCTCTTCCTTTCTTGATCTTCCTCATCTTCTGCTGCCGGACATTACATTCCTGACTCGCGTCATATACTATTTATATCAATATAAGTAGCACGCACCACAATATCACTATTACTAAACACGTCTATTATAATAGTGAACTTTATAAATATAGATTTCAATAGATTATGACTATGAAAATAGATTTGATAATTGAGATGGTGGAGAAGAGTTGTAGCTCAGGTGGATGACTTTGGTGGAGTTTTGTTCTCTGAGCTGGATGGTTTGGTCGTGGAGCTTTCATCGTTCTTCTGAACGACATCATCAGCACAAACTTCAGGTAGAAGTAAAGTGTTCGAATTTCTCCATATGTGTTCCACAGCTTGTTCTGTGCACCTCGATGTTGATTGGTTCTTATTGACCTTAAATTTATCAACCAAGACAAAGAAGTGAACATCGAGGTGCACAGAACAAGCTGTGGAACACATATGGAGAAATTCGAACACTTTACTTCTACCTGAAGTTTGTGCTGATGATGTCGTTCAGAAGAACGATGAAAGCTCCACGACCAAACCATCCAGCTCAGAGAACAAAACTCTACCAAGATTTGATAATTGTTATTCACAATGCAAGATAGTAAAAATTACAGATTATGCGTGAAATCTTTCCCATCCACACCCCATCACTCCTTCAATAAAGTAAACTAATGATAAGTCATAGTACATATATAAACAGAGAACAAACCTCTTGGGATATATACTGATTTTGTTCTTTATCTCGTGAAGATTGAACAGTAACCGAGACCTGATAATTAGTATTAATGGTAGTACTAGTAGTAGAAGTAGTTTTTGTTGTATTTGGGGCAGAAATATTGTCCACATCATTCCTTATCAATGGTGTAATTGCTGCAGTTCGTACAGCAAGTGCAGGAGACATTGATAATGTATTAGGATAGGAATTGTTTGGATTAGACAACGAATTTATTGAACTAGCAGGAGACAAAGTATTAAATGATGGTACAAATGAAGAACCAGCTGAATCAGTAGCTGACCTAATTGAATTTGAAGTAATGTGACTTGAAGCATAGGGGCTTTCTTGTAAACTATATAATTGATTATAATCAGTACACGGAGATGGCTCAGATGGATTTCTACTATTACTATTATTAGTATTATTATCATTAGTATTTTCTGATTGATTAGAAGCCATTTCTTCGCCTAGGGCCGACCAAGAACCATCCGAATGAAATATAATTTCTTCTAGATCTTGAGAACGTTTAGAATTCAATATTTCTAAGAATAAACTTTTAGAAAAAGTAAGTAAACAAAATTTTCAGCTTGACAGATTATAAGTATACAAGAAAAAATACATCTTTATAGACTTGAAAAAAAGTTCCATGAAATTGGTGTGCTTTACGAATTCGAACAAAGCCATAACAATAATTAAGGCAGAATAATATAAATTCACTATATTTCATGATTTCTTATCAACCGTTTACATCCATTGATGTGTATTAAAATGTAACATTGAGTTATGATATAATGTGAAACAATTAACGTTACAGACGGGAAGAAAACTAAAATAGCAAAGATTATTAGTGATAACTATATATACATATATGCAAGAAGAGGCGTGAGGTCATTTGAAAATGAGGGTGTGAGGCAGCAATTAAACGAAGTCCAGAAACAGATAAAATAGGTTGTGTGATAATTAGAGAAGCTTTGGATCACTTAAAAGTATATATAGAAGATTTAGAGCAGTGGGGTGACTAAGTGTCTAGAATTATAAACTGCAGGTTTATGTAATAATTAAACAATATTTAAAGTTTCTCTAAGTTTAGAAAATTGAATGAATGGAGAAAAAATCGATGAATAAGAGGATGGTTTCAGTGTATATGAAATAAGAATTAGCTTGATGAAGACCGCATAACAAAATAAACACTAATAGTGGTAAGGATAATAAAAAATAATAATTCCACGTGATATTAGCAAACGCTATAAGTTTACTAAAGTAGAGATAAGTTGATTAATGTCATTTTCTGGACACAAATTAGGTCTGAGTTGTTTCATCGCTACTGCTCCGGCAAACCGGAGAAGCGCTGTGTTTTTATATCTACTGACAATTTTGAAGGATTGGAAAATGTCAATGGTATGCCCGATTTCAATTAAATACCGAGCTACTGTACTAATTGGAGCCGTTACGCCTCTCAGTCTTAAATTATTTGGAACGTGCTTAGAAATGCGAAAGTAGTAAAATATTCTTGTCATTGATCGTCAGACAGCTACAACGTAGGACCAGGCACATATATGCATCGGTCCAAGTTGCCATACCGCGTCAGCACAGCAAGATGAACACCGGATTCATAGGAGTGGTTAAGTCAATGGTGGTAATATATAAAAGAAAGATTGCATATAAGGATATAGTACAGGAAGAAAGAAGTATTTCGTAGAAAGAAAAATGTGAAATAATTATAATCTCATAGTCTAAGGGGAGACAGAGAGTGCATACACCTACGCCATTGTGATCGATTCTGAGCCATGTCACCCACAGTCTCTAACCATTGGTTACGATAGTCACGCGGACCCCAATCAAGTAGTCTGCATCTACTAACATGGCTCAGACTAGAAGTTAGTGACTCCAAGTACTGATGCCACGTTTTAGTTGGGCCGCCCCTAACTTTCTTCCAACCATCCCCAACACTAGTCAGCATTGAGCGTCGTGGTAATCGATGTTCAGGCATACGCAACACGTGTTCCCAACTATCTCAGTCGATGAAGATTCACAACCTCATCAACCGATTTACCATCATTCCCTAATACTCTGCGTCTAACCTCATTATTACTTACCCACTGGTCCCAGCAGACGCCAGCAATATTTCTGAGACCTCTGTGATCAAATACTAGTAACTTACGCGTATCCTCTACCCTTGATGGACACGTTTCACAGCCGTGAAGCAGAACAGAACGAACTGCCGCGCAGTATACTCGTTCTTTTATTGATAGACGGATATCTCGCCTTTTTTATGTAGTTGTTATCAAGATATAATATGCAAAAAAGCACAAAGACCAGGAATGTTGTTTTAAGATTATTATGGCTAGAAGTGTTGTATTAGGATGATAGAGTTAAGCTGGTAGCATCCCGAAAATATATTATTTGTAATTATAGTTTTCTTTCTTAATGTCCATTTCATCTACAAAAGTTTCACCCTGATTGACTGGTTAATACGAAAGTCATTTTACAAATCGCTCAAAACAGTCAGTATTGGTCAGTTTTGCCTCAACCTGTTCCTAATATGCTGAAATTATGGGATTTGCATGAACTAATTTTTAGACTTCCTTGTTCCAATACTTCTGAGTATTTTAGATATGCACAGCTTAGCCGAATGCTGTCTTTTATTATGAATAATATGTGTCGACAGTGCATTCGTTCATAAAGAAATAAATCACAAAGTAAGCACCTATTACACCTTTATTATTATTTCCTGCAAGAAACAATACCATCAAGCAATGCTAAAACCGATAGCAAACAATGCAACAACCCAGAGAAACTTTTAGTTTAGTGGTCTCATTTTATTGACAGACTTTGACTAAAACCAAGACAAAGTAGAAATGATCTGGCTAAAAATAAACCAACCGACATACATTTCATACACAACACACGATACTCAAACCACCCTTGTCTGATTTCTACCACTGGTATAGTAAAATCAAATTCTAAAGGATTTTAAAAACTCACCCATCAACTATCAAATCTTCGTAAACAGCTTTACCATCGCATACAGGACAATTCCAAGTTGGTTTACGTTCATTAATTATAAGATAAGTTGTTGCATCATAGCACTGAACATGACGACAATTACGTCCACGTACAGGTACTTCAATACGACATTTAGATAAAGGACAAAGAAGTTGAACAGGAAGTGTATTTGGCATAACTAAATCGTCATCATCATCATCGTCATTCTCATTACGGGCTAAAGACTGACTTTGGTTGTTAACACTACCAATATTACCAGTGGTAGCGTTAGGACTAAGTTTTTTTATGATTTCCATCTGAGTGGAAATTAAATAAATATTTGTAAAACAAAATTATTACGGACTAATAATACAGGCAAAATAGGGAAATTTTCCAAAATACCTAGTGCTGACCAATGGAAGATTGTGGTGTCGGGTGACATGTCAAACCCACACACCGTATTCTAGTTTTCGGGCAGGCCAACTTATTCATTCTTATTGAGTCACATTTTGACCATGTCACTTATTCGCTTATCAACCTTGACTGTTTTTATGTAAGCGTATGTGTGCATTTCTTATATTATTCATTACGTATCTGTAAATTATTTTTGTCTGTCTATAAATATTGAGTAATGCTTGGTTAAATTGATTTGGTTCATATGCCTTCTCCGGTTCGTTTCGCTTCGCTCTCTCCTCTTCGCTTTTTCCGCTACTTCTCTCTGATTGTCTGTCTTGATCAACGATTGTACAAAATAAAAGTATTCAAACTTAATTCTCGTATTTGACTTATTCACTAACACGATCTATGCCGATAATTTTATACATGGATTGACAATATGTAAATTTCCTTAATGATAATCACACGATCAAATTGGAGTCAGATAATGGGCCACAAAAAGAGAAACGGTCACATCTGTGATTAAAATGACACTTATGCTACCAAATAATTGCAATTTGTATATTCCGAAATTCTACTAAACAAATTTTAATCACTGAACTATCCACAGTTTTCCACTTAGTTGTGATCGATCTGAGTTAATCAAGCAGTTGTGATTAAGAATAATAAGACGATGAATTATAAAGACAAGTTTAATATTCATTCTAAATGAAAACTATACACAATATTTAATAGCTGAAATAAGAATGACGACTAGTAATGAGTTTGAGAGACTTGATTACCGACAGATTGGACAAATAATCTAGAACCAACGGTCCAAATACGGCTACCACAAAGGTTTTGTTTATAATTTAATTAGTCTCAAGTAATAAGAGAGTTTGTTAACCAATCACCTACACAAATGCTTCAATCGATATTTAATATATTCGTTTAAATGTACAATTAGTTGGGGAGCAGACCCAAAAAACAATGGCCCAAATCGACACAACAACCCCCTCACCGTGAAATAAAATACATAAGATGAAAAGCAGCGATGTTCGATTGGCAATAACGTTTATAATAATGAAGCGTCTACAAATAAGGACAGAGACTTACTTTCATTACACTAGCATTTTGAAATGAAGTCGAATGTAGAAGACCACATAATTGTTGAGGCGAACGTCTACGCATCAAGTATATTCCAACAACATTATAAGTATAGCTAGAATAATCATGAGTCCAAGTTAATTTAATATAGTTTGGAACAGTAGGGGAAACATGAAGCTAATAAATAAGAAAGTTTGGAAAAAAAATCCAAGTTAATCTTAAATTAATCCAAAATCAAAATACCATTCCCAGTTCCACCAAATAATTTTCATCAAGACGGTTCAACTACATGATAACTTCAAAAAATGCACAAGATAATCTCAAATTCATTATGATCTGACTGGATAAATTTGAAGTCTATCGTTCAGATTGTAACACGTCATAGCCTTAAATAAAAATGAAGTTAACCCTTCCTGAAGAGTTAAGCAAGCGTTATAAATGGATAAGTAAATGGAAATCGAAAAATTCTAAAACTATTCCCTCAGTGAAAAACTATATATATATATATATATATATATATATATAATATTATATATATATATATAATATTATATTATATTCAGATTAGGATCGAACCCAAAACCTTTAGGTGTCATGGTGAGTACGATAGCTTTAAAGTTATTCTGAGTTTAAAAGTTTCCAACTTCAATCAATTTCGAATATTGTGCGACCATTAGGTAATGTAATCACTAAACAGATTTTTTCAGTGCTCCTTGACTTTTGATAGTTCTCTAGTTCATGAATTTGTCTGTAACCAAAACTACCCTCCAGCTTTATGATTACAATTGACGAATAACAACCATGAAACCAGCTTCAAAAGATTTCTTCATCAATTCTAAGTATTTTCCCAGAGAACAAACAGACTAAGGTTAGTTGTTTCCCTGTTATATACATATGAAAGATTTTATTCTATATCCGACAACTGAAATACACGATTATTAGAATATTTTCAAACGTAACGATCTCACACTTTGTTATTTATTTCACAACCCAAAGATAACAAAAGTATGTACAATCAGTACATCATAAAACTCCTTCCCCAAAAATATAGTTCATGATTTTATTGTCATTTAAGATTTTACAATAATAGACTAATCTACGAAAAAAATCCTAATGTCATATTAATCAATGGAAGCAAAAGAAATCGCTATTTAAATTACGGACAAATGTCTCAATTACAAATATAAACAAATATACTTACAGACTGAGTGATATTAATAGGTCTAGGATTACGACGTCCATCCATTCCTGGACGATTACTTGGTAAAAGAGGTGGGAGTTGGATAGGCCGACCATTTACTTGGATTATCAAATGAACTGGTAAACTATCTTCAGCTAATGGTATTTGAATGAGTTTATCCAATGATAAACTAGATGACTTGCGACTACCATACAACTCATATGTCTGTACTAGATGTTGGCAGGCTTGGGGATCTAGACGAGCAAAACGCATAATAACTTGCACTCCGAATTCCATTCGTTCGTCAGATCCACGCCAGCTAAAAAGCATTGACATCAATAAATCTACTTTTGATAATCTTAAAAATATTACATAATTTGCATTCTAGTGTAAATTGCATACAAGAAAAACAGATGAATTGTCTTACAAAACCATTCAATTAATTTATTGATTTTACCGTGAATAAATTAAGTGTAATATCAGTGGACCAAAATACTTTGTTTTTTAAATCCCAAAATTACAGATTTCTGTTGGTGATGCATCGAAATCTTTAGTTATCGAGGAAAATAGGTAACGGAAAATTGACATGAGGAAATTCCAGGTACCTTAAGTTCGAGTTTGCCATAATGATTTGTCTCTGTATGAAGATAGTGTTAAGAAAATATCTCCTCATAATGGGAACTCAAATCTCCCTCCCTTAAGTCCTGTTCTCAGTGGGTGGTTTGTGATACCATGACGAAAACTTCTACAAATACCCATACGTTTTTTTATTATATCATCGTAGGTAGCAGCGGCAAATATACTTGTCTCCCAAAGGCTGGTGACTGGGAGTAAACTGAAACAAAGTTGAGTCGACCACTTTATTGGTTCGCTCGATCAAGTTGAGTTGGAGCTGCTAAATATATAAAAGTTTCAGTCAAAAAAACTATAGTTTGTTGCTAGTATCATGATAGGAAATACCCTGGTTACAAGTATAATTTACTCACTCGGCTTTGAGTAGCAACCTTACTGAGAGAGTACCCGGGAAAAAAACAAGTAGAATGGGACTCAGACGTGTGACTGAATTGCTCTAGGTTTAATTCCAAGCTACTATTCCCTGGTACAAGCAGTTACTAACCGCTAGATCGCAACATCTGTTACAGCCGCTTCAGCTAAGAAGTCTGGATAATACTTCTAGTTTAAAACAAAATCTATCTAAACTCAGAGAAGAAATGCTTTTAATTGGTGAACGCGGTGTATTTGCTAACAAATAACTAGTATTACCAGGATAGAATTCTGACGATGACATGATAGGCGAATCAAATCAATGATGAAAACTGAGATGATTCTTTTTACAAAACGGTAAGCTATTCCTAAAGACTATAATATCTTAGAAGCCATGTTAGTCAAGTTAGCTGCTTTTTGAATTACTCCCCTTTTCTTTAAACTGCAATGATCAACAGCCATGTGTAATCCTATAAGAAACATTTCAGACCCATAAACCCAAGTCACTTTTGCAGTTAATTTGGTCAAGAATTCACGATTATTATTCTAATAGAAGCAAACTAACAGATCTTGTCGCTTTCTCTCATCTCAAATTTGCCACCAATTTTCCAATTATAGTAAAACTTTAAAAGCCGATAAATATATCCTACTCATACGGTTTTGGAATGAAAAATAACCAAAACGTAGCCAGAAGTTAGTTAAAATGTTTCTTCTATGTTTTTTACATCAATTCCGAAAATTAATCAAGGTAATGTTTTTCTCAGAGACAATCCTAACGATCACTAACTTTGCATGTTACTCCTTAGCTAAATATCACCTGGTAACTGAATCGCTTCTGTAGCCACCATCTTCTGAGCATAGCTGTCCCTATACAAGGGTTTAAAATTAAAAGTGCATTTATAAATATCACAGGATTTGGTCGATTGTATTCTATATCATCTATCTTAATTTTACTCCAACATCCGCCCAGATAAGATCAAGGAAATGAATGTACTCGATTCTACAATGCGTGGTTCACAAACAAAAATTCCGTGGCCAAGGGTGATAGTTTCGGTTAATGATGACTGTTGTCAGACTTCACGTAAGGCTAAGAGCTAGGGTGTTGAGGGCGTCGACATAAAGTTACCAGTATGGTTTTAAGAAATAAGAAATGATGTTGGGTAATAACCGCGAATATACTAGAAAACTTGAGGTTTTCAACACAAAGATCCTTATGAAAGTTTTTCGGAAAAATGCAGAGCAAGCACAAGTAAATCTGTCATCGCACATAAGACTACACACAAGTAACCAAAACGACGAGAGAAATCATACTCACCAGTGATAAGTAATGGTTTCGACTTGGTCAGATGTGAACCTCAAGGCCAAAGAACGGTCATAAGATCGACGTCCAGTAGCAAAACCAATGTGGGCCGGGAGAATGATTTGCGGAGGTAAAAGAACATCGATCAGTTTGAAAAATGGAGACTCTTTGAAATTGAATTCAGGTAAAACAGCGGGAAGCCGAAACGATCCATCAACTACATAATTGCGTGTAACAAATTAAGAGTAAACTTGTCTTATCGAGAGGAATAAATGCGTTGTAATCATTATTATATGAAAAACATATTAACAGTAGGACCTGAAAGGCCTAGGAAGAAAACTCTAATAACTCATACTACATTCCTTTTTAGGAAGTAACAGAAGCTGAAGGTAAATCCGGGCGAAACTATTTGGAACACGAATACAAGATAAACAGAAATGTTAAACATAAGAGGAATACGTCCATTTGCAATCCCAAAACACCCACTTCCGCAATATTCGTAGTGTCCCCCAATTTTGAAACTTTACTTATCAACAAACCATTTTCAGTTAAGAAACCACTCAAAACCATCCTAAGTGCAAATGACAACTTTTACTAAATCTTTTTACAAGTGAATAAAGTATTTGTACTTTAATTGAGGAATGTTCGGTAAGAGGATAAATAACTGGGCTTTTAACTACCCAGTAGATCAGAACCTCATCCTAAATGTTTGTTTATTTATTTATTTGAACACATAAATATTGGTACAAGGGGGCACCCAATATATATGCGCCACACAGAGCAGTGAGAATGGGGAGAGAAAAAAGGAGCGTAAAATAAAAAAGAATAATAACGACCAAATTGGTGTAAGGTAGTGTAATAATAATGTTACAGCAGGATCACCACTAGCTTCCATTCTGAGCCATATCTGATAACGTCTCTAGCCACTGTGTCACATCATCTCTAGGACCCCAGCCAGGGAGTCGTGAAGGACCAACGCAAGCCAGCCCTGTTCAGCTTTCTTACTGTTAGCGGGACATAGACTAGATTAAAGCATGCTCAATGCATGATTGTTTTGGTGCACGCTGATTGGCTGATTCTTATCCAATCAGCACTAGTCGTTAGTCGGAGAATACTCTGGAATTTTCTTATGTAAAAACTATAAATATACCGACGTTTTCCCCTATTGTGCTTCCTACTGGCTTCTGACTTGTTATTTGGAATATAATCTCTTCCTGTTCAACCGTGTTTTGATTTGGGGACTTGTCGAGTGAATCGGTGTCCAAGAATACTAAGCAATAGGAATAGCTGGGTCATTAACCGTAAGAAGGAAGAGATTATAACACTTACATACCCCGACACCATGTCATAGACTGACCACCTCTCCGCTTTTTCCAACTAGTCCCAGAGTCGGCAAATAATGCACGACGTGGAATTCTCTGGGACGACATTCATAGAACATGTCCAAGCCACCGAAGTCGCTGTTTCAAGATGGTGACACCAATTGCATTATCGTCTCTGTGCCCGAACACACAACGCCGAACCACTGCATTACTAACATGGTGTTGCCACTGGATGTCAGCAATCCTTAGGAGACAGCGATGATCAAACACAGAGTCTTCTGACATCCTCAACTCGGAGAGGCTAGATTTCGTAAGCATAGAGCAAAACTGCTCTCACCGACGCGTTGTAGATCCAACCTTTCAAAGCCAGACTAACATCACGAAGGCGCCAAAGATGGCCCAGATTGGCATAAGCCGCTCTGGCTTTCACTATACATGCATCACTCACACCCCCACCAGCACTTATGCAGCTATCCAGATACACGAACTTCTCGACTACTTCTATCTGCTCACCATCCAGGGTGAGTACAGGATTAGAATCCTGCCAGTCTTGTAGAAGTACTTTGCACTTCGAAGATGCAAAGCACATACCATATCTACGGACACTGATTGCCAACTGATTAAGTGCGGATTCCATGACTTGAGCATTATCGCACAGTAAGACAATATCATCCATATACTCAAGGTCGAGAAGTCTTTCTCCAGGCAACAGATCCACACCACCATTACTTACATCTATCAGAGCTGTTTCCAGAATGTCGTCGATGGCAAAGTTGAAGAGGAATGGTGAGATTGGGCAACCCTGCCTAACCCCACTACTCGAATGGAACAATGGAGAGAGGTGGTTGTATGCCCTCACTATGCCTGAGGTGTTTTTATATAGGGCTTTTAGGATGTTAATAAACTTCTCAGGCACACCCTTCTTCAATAGACAATCCCAGAGAACAGCCCTGTCCAGCGAATCGAAGGCAGCCCTGATGTCAAGAAACACTACGATTGTTGGCCTTTGATTAGTATGGCGGTGTTCTAACATTTGGCGGAGGGTGAAGATATGATCAATACATCCTCGACCAGAACGAAACCCAGCCTGCTCCTCGCGAGTCAATCTTTCTCGAGTTTTGAACAACCTACGAAGTATGACGGAAACCAATAGCTTGGATGCAATCGGAAGTAGACTTATCCCCCGATAGTTGTTACAGGAACAACGTGAACCCTTTTTAAAGATAGGGACAACTATCGACTGATTCCATGACGTTAGTACACTCTCTAGTTCCCAGACCTTTGTAAACAACACAGTCAGTTCCTTAGCCAGAAAGTCATCACCATCTTTAAAATGAGTAAGTCATCATGGCCCGATGATTTGTAGCACTTCAAGAGTTGAAGTTCCTTACGGACTTCCACCTCATTTGGTGGATCAGTCGTCACCGGCTATGGAGGGCAGGACAGTCTGACCGATGTTGCCGGAGCAGTAGGCCAGTTGAACTGCCCTTCGAAGAACTCTGCCCATCGTCTAAAACGTCGATGGATGTTAGTGATTGGCATCCCATCATCCTCACAGATTGTTTCACTCACACCAAACTTATTGCTGCCAGTGGCTCGGATGAGTTGGAAGAGCTTCCGGTAATTACCAGATGCAGCTGTTGCTTAGCGCTCATTAGCACGCTCCGACCACCAGGCTTCTCGGCCCTTACGCAAGCTTTGCTCAATTTCATTAAGTACCAGTCGTCGTTTGTAGTCAAACTCACGGTTACCCGGAGTAGACCAACGGGCTTCAATGAGTTGTAAGGAGCCTGAAGAAACCCAGTACTTATAAGCGGGACGTTTCGCGAAGTCGCAAGCGGCTTTGCTCGCTATTTTCATGGCGTCATGCAATTGCAACTAATGCTCATCTATACTTTTCGGTGGAATGGTAGCTAGGCTAGAAACTAGCTCGGTTCGATACTTACTTGCAACAGAAGTTGCAACCAATTTGCTGACATCAATCCGTTGATGGTGGTCACTTCGTTGTCCACTGAAAAGTAAGGCAAGATTGGCGCAGACCAAGGCATGGTCAGAGTCCAGATAGGTACTCCAAAAGGAGCGGCAGTCTTGTACACAACCACGCCAGCGGTAGCTGATCGCGATGTGATCAATCTGAGTCCAGGATTGAGATGCAGAGGGATGACGCTAGGTGGAACATCAGCGATGACTGTGCCGAAAGTTAGTGCTAGCCAGAAACAGGTTGTGGTCTGTGCACAGTTGCAGTAGACGGTCCCCGTTATCTGTCTTGCGACCAACAATTCCCCATCGGCCACCTAGACGATTCTCTTCTGTACCTAAACGCCCGACCTGAGCATTCAAGTCTCCGGCAATACTACAATATCTGTCGAACGCACTTTCTGGAGAAGAACAGTTAACTGATGGTAGATTTCATCCTCGATTGCATCCGGGCTGCAATCTGTCGAGGCATAGGCGGAGATGACAAAAAGACATCGTTTCTCACGCCGATTTCTTCTCACTTTGATGGAACGTTCTAATCTAACAGCACGTAACCGACTGTTAATGGGTATCCAATCGATTAGTGCTGCCTCAGCTCTAGCGCTTCGTGCGACACCAATCCCAGCAAGACCACACGAAGATGCCACAGGGTTCCCGAATAAACGCACGTAAAATAAGCTTTTTGAAGCGACAGATGAAGAGCGAATTCGTAGTACTTCACCAGTCTTGAATACGGATCTCGGATAGACAACAAACGTCGATATTAAGACTTTCCAAGGACATAACCAGCCCTATTTGTCTTCCGACCTGCATAAGTGTGCGAACGTTGAAGGCAGCCAGTTTGAATGGTGCACGTGGTTTCAGAAAAACTGCTTCGGTATTCGTATTTGGTGGTAGCACGCAATTTTCAACCAGGCAGTGACTCGAGAACGTTTAGATAGAACCGAGTTTCCACCATAGGCGAGCTGCTGTATCAGTCGAAAAATAAGGATACATAAAATGGGAATAAAAAAAGAAAGTGAATGACGTAAATAATAATAATAATAATAATAATAATAATAATAATAATAATAATAATAATAATAATAATAATAATAATAATGTGAATTGTTTGATTGTAAATCGAAGGGAGAACAGAATTTTCAGTAAATATCGTCATTTTCATTTTATTTTTGTGTTGCTGTGGTACTGCCCGGGTGCCCAAATCGAGGCAGGTGGTCTTCTTAGGGGGCCACACCCCGAGACCCCTGGAGTGGTGGAAATAGCTAACTTAGCGAGTAATAGGTGACAGTCTTTATGAACACGAAAGTTATAAGTATGCAGACACATACATTCTAGCATATACATATCTATAAAGCAACCTAGATGTTACAAGAGAGTAATTAGAGAGGGAAAATATATGGGTTACAGGACAAATGGGAAAATCAGGATAATTTATCTGTTTAAGCACGTAGGTGAGTGGTAACAGAGATCCGCTACAAGTTCATACAGGCCCAAAACCTTATATTGACAAATTATTATACAACACACAGTAAGGTGCAGTTTAAGTTTTGGAGCAGTAATATGGTGGTTACGAAACTCAGCTTTCAACTAAAAGGTCACAGGTTTGAATACCATACCAATTATTTTGGTTTGGGCAACTGGCTAGTAACGTATTACTAGCCCTCACACATAAACTATGGATCAAAGTTGACTAAACAGAACCTCATATGACAAGTCTTTTAAAAATGAACGAACAAGAGAGATAAATACTTTAAACAGCGCAATTACTAAGCGTTTCTTGGATACAGGACATCAGGCCAATACCTTGAAATCTATCAAGGTGGTTAATAAACAGTCAAGCCCCAGACTTCTGACGTTATCTGAAACCGTTGCTATAAGGCGTCCGGAACCTGATTTATGTGTTGAATAGATGATTGTTAGTCTTTCCTTCTATTGGTAGCAAATATTTCTTCATTGCGTCATAAAATTTTGTTCAACTCTTTCAATTAATCACATCACTACGCTTTTTTATTTTAACTGTCATTTAGATTATTAATCTTATTTTAATTAACTGAGCTTTACTCATTCTTACTTTTTATCAGCGTTTACTCACTACGTAACCACTTGTTTCCAGCCCTATGGACCTTTGTTACTACCGACGTTATAGAACTTTCCCTATATAAGGTATGTATTTACAATACTTTATTCCATCTATTAAATTTATTTACACCCTTGCTATATTACACTGATGTCTTTAAAGTAACTTTCAACTGCGCTCCTTCAAGTAATTGTAACCCATTTTGTAAATAAGTGGTCTTGGGTGCTGTTAAAAGTATGAGGGCGGTTATCACTTCCCGGTTGCCCACACCGTGGAAGGGTTCTTCTGGAGGTACCTGAAAAGGAAATTGGATTAGAGGCGGTCTCAGTGACCTGAGAGCGTGACCGCAGTGCCCAAGGGACAACTGCTTGAGGCCGGTCGCGCACGGCCTTTTCGTGGGAGGTTTTTGACGTGTTAGCTCCGTTCTTCAAAGGGCCTTACCGCCGGAGACGGAAATCCGTGAGGTAAGGTGAGGTGCGCATTTTTAGGGTCGACCTTTTCTAACCCCATCCCTCCCTGTGGGAAGGCAGCATCGCTGTCATGCTGGTTGTCTGAAGGAAACAACCTTACTGCTGTCACACCTCTGTACAGTCAGCAGTACGACTTTGCCTTCGGACCTTGGGTTTGTTGCTTTTAGTCTTACCGCTCTTCAACCGACCTGTCTGACATGGTAGAACCTTGAGGAACGGTTGTTCCAGCCAGTATAGCTCGGTTGCTTCATCACGATCGACAAGCCCGACCACCACGTCAAGGTAGCAACAACGGTCACAAGTAAGCAGCTGACGAGAACCACACGAAATAAAATGAATTCATGTTATTCTGCTTAAATCTTTGTTATTGCTTTCTTCGGAAATGAATACTTTAGGTGACTATGAAATCTTTTTCTGGTTAGTCAATACTTGAGAACAGAATTCTTCCTAGCATATTACTTTATTGTGATTTCTTTAAATATATGTAATTGCATTTTGTCTGGTATATATACTTGACCTGAACTGTTTAAATAATTCCCCTACTAAAATAAACAATAAATACTAGGTTTCAAGGTACTTTAAATTCTCAAAGCACAGAAATAGACAATAAAACAAAATCCACAGATGACAATGAATAAACAGCAACAAAATTTGGTCTACATGCATGCGACGAAAAATGCCAATAAAAAATACTTCGACATTCTGTGTCTTACCTCCAGCCAATGTTATAAGTGGACCTATTTTGTGTGTGACAGCAGCTTTTCTTGAGTCTGTACTGAGTGTGTGGATTGAACTCTGAGGACATTCAGAGTGCACATGTATTTCTGAATGCCCATCTGACATAGCTGAATTGGATAGAATAGGGATAGGAAGGGCAACATTTGTTTGAGAATGGGGATTAAAATTTTGGGACTTCCCAGATGTGTGAGATTGAGATGTCGTTACTCGGTTTTCAGGTAACAACTTGTTAACAGACTCCCAAGATGACCAAACTGATGGGTTAATCACAGGATTCCCTGGAAACAGTGAACTTTGTGTGAGTTCATTGGATGAAACTGTTTGTTGAGATTTTTGTTGCCTGCTTCTCGTAGAATTTAATTCATCTGGAGATGATTGTTCAAAAACACTTGTATTCGGTTGTACAACGTAAGGGTTGTGACGCAACTGCTCTTTCTGTAATACACAGCTTGTTTTTGTACCTGTCACACATGGATTCGGTCCTGAACTATTCTTTGACGATTCTGTAGAACAACGAATGGTAGGGTCTCTTAAATACACAAACGATGACGGAAGATCGTTTGACGGACAGTGGGGGTCGAAATTCCCATTTGACTGTTGAAACTGTAAGTCTGAAACACGAATTATATCACTTTTAATAACAATGATGACTTTGGAATACAGAAAAAAGTTAGATACAACAGAGCACATATGAAAATCAGCGACAAACTAATACAATCATTTTACTTCTTAAAAGACTTTTCAGAAGATAACAAGATATTTGATAGTGTGTAGGTTTAATTATTCTCAATCAAATGTTTAAAAACTCATTTGTAAATTGAAGGTAATGCTGAGAGTTCATTTCACTCAATTTTTACAGGACAATCAAGTCAATTTGTAATCTATAATTCAAGCACAAAAATCCTAAATAAACATTCTAATTATGTGACCAAGTACATGCTAATGTACTCGACCCTAACCCAGAACAACTAACTATCATTTGACGGTGCTGTCATAAACTAAACTTTTCTCAAATTTCGTCACTGTGTACCGGTGTCGCCAAATAACATGATGTAGGAAAACTGCTTGAACGATGTGAGGAAAATCAAACCAAGAAAACAAATACAGTGTTCTAAGATGGCAGTACTCGCTAAATCTACATCTCTACCAAGCCCAAATACCCGCTAATGAACCTTAGCATTATTCAAAATGTGTTGCCATTAAACGCATGCCATCCCTGAAACTAAAGAACATCCTTAGCTCGAAGATTAGTTTTGATAGATGTAGGCTGCGAATGTAGGTAAAGACAAATTGTGAACCTGACCTTTATAGCTGGACTAACATTGTAACAATGGTAAATGTAGTACAAATTATCTCCAGTGGCGTATCAGTAGAATTTAGTAGATGTACGATATTTTCAGTAAATAATTATGGTTTGTAAGCATTACTATGTAAATCAATCTATTTATACACCATAAGAAACTATATTAATGGAATCGGATCGATACTAAGCTTGGGACTAGCTACATGAAAGTTCTTAGTTCACATTTACAGTTGAAACAAATTTGCAAAGATTATAAGATTAAAAAAGAATGCAAGCACCCAGAATCAACTGGTTGTGTTACATTAAATAGTCTCATAAGAACAAAAACACTGAAAATGCGGGAGAAAACGTACTGACAGGACTATACATCAGTCCCCTCAGTTCATGAAGGGCAGAAAGAAATTCTGTGGAAGGATCCTGGTCCAGGTAGGAAATAAGTCTCAATTGAATATCCTGCTTTAGACCTCCACGAGGAAGATTGGTTAACTTTATAAGTTTATCAAGATCTGCCCGTCGACAGCGTTGGATGAAAGCCTAAAACATCTTTATGCGAGTAACGATATATACCTTAAGCTCTAAGAGGTCACGAGTTTGACGCATGGAAGATTTCCCTTTGCCGAGCTTAAGCTTTTCTGCAAGAATAAATAATCTAAGTAGTCCAGTGGAAGCAAAGCACTTATCAACACTGGTTAACGGACAGTACCGATATTTTTTATTCACGCGCTTATCCAGTAGACAATATCTTACATGCCTTCATTGAAGTTGTTTATTGATGTATTCGTGTCCATTCAGGCTGACGGCGAGCATGATAGGCTATGATATGTAGATACTGATACAAACCTTCCAAAATATTTTTCAAGTCACCTAGCGGAATATGTTTGAAATTAATCAATTCTGGTCACTTAATTTATCAGCAAATATGAGATATGAAACACGAATACACTGTTGAACTAATAATCAGAGTACTACCTTATTTGTTAGGTAACAGTAAAGGTGCCACATGTATTCGGAATTTCACAACATTCTCAAACGTAGTGCAGGACCAGTGAAATGTCACTGAGCCCTAGCCAAATCATCCGGCAGTTGGATCACTGAATGTCGAACAGATCATCGTTCCCTGCCAAGGTCATGTACAACCAACGCGCATCAGTTATTAGTATGCCATGGACTGACCCATGCGGCAGTCGTCTTACTTTCGTGCCATTCCGAAACACCGAGAGACGATGAATGAAGTATACTAAATGATTCAATTCAGAAGTAAGAAATGAAAAGGTCCGAAAATACATTTGAAAAGCTGTAGTGACGTACGTTTATTAAGAGAACGCAATTGGTATAATGGAAAGAACTATTATCATAACCATTTGTTCCACTGGTTATTTCACTATACTTGTTTGTTTAACTGTACTAAAGACATTCTTCCTTCCGTCGGTTGTGACCTTACACGAACTTACGTTTGTTCAGTAGTTTCGCTTGTACTCCTTTGGCACGATCTCGGTATTATTCCGATACCACGAGATCGCCAACAAATATATATCGTCACAACCTTCAGTCACCTTCTGATTTCTGGTTTACCCGGAGGTTTAGCCTGTTCTGGTACGCAATCTTCTTGTAGTGATGACCATAGTCAAACGCGACTCGACGCCACACTACAAAGCTATCGATATGTCGAGAAGCGTTTGGTCTAAGCTGGCTAGTAGTTGCAAAGGACGCGTAGCACGATGTGCTCTTTCGTGATCTGGAGCGGGTGCGCGACTGAGAGCTTTCAGCTAGGGTGTATTTAGCGAAACTAATGAAGTCAGCATCAATGTCGTAGACTTGACGAACTACCGCCATAAGTGCATAACAGAGGTGAGTTTTTGAGTACAGTAATTGTAGACGTAATGACCTGATGAAAGTTTAAGTTGTTCAAAGGAGATTCACAACAGAAGTTTTGGATTATTCTGACAACGATGATTATCACCAAAGATACCAACAACTCCAGTCAGAATCTCCCTGGATCAGGCGCATTAAATAAAGCCTTGCATTTAACAACAGACTTGTGGATGGTATTTCTTACTCTTCGTCAACCAATCCTTCATATTCAATTATATCATTACACAACCTACTCAATAAAAAGAGTATTCTATTGATTACAAGAACCTACACAAATTTACGCTGCAATTTTTCCTTGTTCACTATTCAACCATGTAAAAAAGTTCTAGTGAGCCTCTGTTGCAGTGAATATGTGATCTAGTTTCAAATCTCCTTGATGACATTCTTACCGAGAGCGGTTTTCGTCCTTTATTAAACGTCAGCGTGTTTACCAATGATTTATGCCAACGAGGTCCAATATCTACCTGAATGACTGTTAAACAAAGTAGAGCCTTTGAACTTTTGTCAGTTATTTTATTTTGTTTCCTTTCTGTTCATCTAAATACCCAAAGTCTGTTTATATTCAAATTTATTATTATTATTACTATCATGATTGATCCTCTGATACATGAAATATTCTTCCCTTCCGTTCTCTTCTCTCTCGTTCTCTTTTTCCTTCCACATATATTCTGTTCGTAAACATCCCAAGTTTATAGCTAGACACATTATCTTGTGTTGCACCTATGTAAATTAACATTACACATTAATTTTATGTTCATCACGCATATATGACCCATACAAATTGATATTTGAAGATTATTCTCTGCAATTAATTGATGCTTTCATAGCATTATTCTACGCAATTACTGCACAAACTCTTATTCTGCCGACAAATCTTACTGCACAGATGATTTGTTTTCTTATTTATTTATTTATTTATTTTACTTGCTTCGTGATACACATATATTAACTCTGCCTGTAGCTCTTCTAGGGCTGCCACCGGTCTCAAGCCCGAATAGACAAATAGGGTTAGGCGTTGGGTGGGTAACCCAACCCCATACAAAATAACCTTGCTAAAACAACGCTAATCATAATCAACAAACTAAACCGTTTGAAATCTTCCAAGAGAATTTAAACGCCTCATGGTGAAAGCCGAGATACTTCGAAAGTCATGGACTGGAAAAAAAGAATACCTAATCAAAATACCAAAGAAAGGAGACCTGAAAAAATGTAAAAACTAAAGGGGAACCACATTGCCATCGGTACCAGGAAAAGTTTTCAACATATCGTTACTGAACCTGACGAAAGATTTAGTAGACGCCAAACTCCGAGATCAACAAATCGGATGTCGTAAGGATTGGCGCTCACAGGCGCAGTCGTGACACTACAAATCGACGCTGAACAATCAGTTAAATGGAACTCGTCGCTATACATCAGCTTCCTTGACTATAAAAAGGCGTTTGGCAGTGTGGATAGGAGAACATTATGGATGCTTCTTCAACACCAAGGGGTGGATACCTGAGAAGATTGTCAATGCTATCCGGATTCATATGACGGGCTGCAGTGCAAAGTCGTGCATGGCGGAAAGTTGACAGATGCATTCCAAGAATGGGCTGGAGCCAGACAAGGCTGATTACTCTCTTCTCTTCTTCTTTCTCCTAGTGGTTGGCTGGATTATGAGGACCTCGACACCTGATGGGAAGCATGGAATATAATGGATGGCTTGGAATCAATTGGAAGATCTGGACTTCGCAGATGACCTGACCCTTCTATCCTATACAAACGAACAAATGCAGGTGAAAACAATCAATGTAGTAACAGCCTCTACATCAATAGGCCCCAACATACACATAGGAAAAAGCAAGATTCTCAAATACAAAACGGAGAACAGTAATAATAATAATATATTTCTGCATGAGCAGGTACACACCATTTTTACAAGTATGATCTACAAACCACAACATTTGTTGGCTCACAGCATGCTTCCTAACTCATTAAGTTTATAGTTGTTATAAAGTAGTTTCATAGAGCTCTTGCTGTAAACTATGACCCTAAGGAGACACGTACGTCAAGTTTGTTCCAGACGTCAGTAGTAACCAAATCATGCTTGGTGGAGGAGTTCCGGAAGGGGTGAAATCTTTCACGTACCTGGACAGCGCCACCGATGAACCAGGAAGATACAACGCGGACGTAAAAGTAAGGACTGACAAAACAGGGGTAGAATTTTCACAGTTGAAGAACATATGGAACTCAAAACAACTGTCAGACAACATTGAGGTTAGAATCTTCAATACGAACGTCAAAACAGTTCTACTGTACGGGGTTGAAGCTTCCAGAGCTACTTCAATCATAATAAAAATGTGCATCTATATATAAATAATTGTTTGCGCAAGATACTCCAGATCCGTTGACTGGATACCATCAGCAGCATCCTACTGTGGGGAAACAAGCCAGCTTCAAGATGGAGAGAAAATTAGGAAAACATTCTGGAAGTGAATAGGATATACGTTACGGAAATCACTAAACTGTATCAAGAGGCAAAGACTAACTTGAGATCCTGAGGGGAAACGGAAGAGTTGAAGGCCACAGAACACACTGAGTAGGGAATCGAAGGCAGATATGAAAACGATGAATAGCAATCTGAAATAACTGGAAAGGGTTGCCCGGGACAGGGTTAGATGGAGAATGATGGTGGACGGCCTGTAAATTTGTTATATACTTCGTTATCAATACTGCTCTACTAATAGACCTAGTCTTAAAATTGTAGATTTGTGATGATGTAACTGCCTGATCTACAAGACCTTACGTGGAAGTCACATCATTGTCTACATAAACACTTCGCATCCTAACAACCACCAATATATGGTGGATAACACACTTAGTCTAGAGATAGAACAATATATTTAATATGAATAAAAGATATGAGAAACACTCAAGAATGACCACGCCTGCAAGGCCAAGCCATGCCATCCGATTTATTGAATTCATTCTTCACCTCGGAAAAAATCATTTGGTGCTTCATGGAGATCAACATCTCATTACTGAACCCTTGGTTTTGGTAATGATAAGACAGTACCCATGTATGCTTTTGTTAATTGTTTCTGTAAAGTGCCCTAAAGTGTATTCAGTGAATGGGTAGAGAGAATGTTCAACAGTATGTGATTCAATTCGTTGATTTCATATAAGAGAAACTTCTCATCGAATGCATTCTATCCTATTCAAATGGTTCAAATGGTTGTGGACGGAATAGAAGAAGCTTTCGCTTAACAGGCTTCCGTGTCTAGTAGCAGGGGATCACCAAATCCTCCAGGCAGGAACCTAGGTATGTTAACAATAAAAGAGGAAAAGAAATCGGTAAATCATAGTGTGATGCTGTCCTTGGTCCTTAAGAATAGGTCAAGTTGCCTCTTGAAGAACTCCTGTAAAGTCGCTTGGACTAGCTCGGCTGGCAGCGAATTCCAGCTTCTGACAACTCTTAAGGAGTAGAAGTTGTGTCTACATTCCGTCTTGCTTTGTTGTGTTTCCAGTTTCTGGGTGTTACCCGTTAGGTTATTATTCGAACTAAGCTTAAGTAGGTGTTTAAGAGGATGTCCAGAAGTGTTAAAAATACTATAAGCCATTAATAAATCACCTCTAAGACGCCTATACTCTAATGGGTACAGGTTTAGTGATTGGAAGCGCTCTTCATAAGGTTTAAATCTGAGTCTTCGAACTGATTTCGTGGCTCGATGTCAGCAGTGGGCTTCCTATATATGACTCCGACTAGGCACCTCAAAGTAGTAGACAATCTTACAGAGTACCATAATAACTCATCAAGATTGTTAAACTCATGGTTGTGAACTTGGTATACCTCCAAGCAAGATCGTATGTATACGGCTACTCCACC